GGGCTAAATTACGCCAAACTGTAAAAATGTGAATAAGCGCCGCCACTCACACTTCCCCGCCTAATGAAAGCAATAAGGGTTGGGGGACAAATGTAATTGTACAAAGACCCGCTAACCCTATCCACGGATACAGGATTTAAAAATTAAAATTAGTGGGGTCTGACAGCATCCACTCCAGCCCTACGATAGTTCAACAACATTTTGCAACTCTGAATGCCCAGAAATAGATGCTGACAACTTGTAGGGCCGCTAGCGCTCTTCCCCACAGGGGGCAGCCATAAAAAATAAAGTTAGCATGGAGATAGAGTCTTTGTTGGAAATATGGCACTTCTGGATGCCTGGAAATAGAAGCTGGGAAACCTGTATAGCCACCACATATTCCCATCTGGATACATAATGGTAGCATTGACCAAATTAAAATTCGTAGGACTATTTTAAATCATGGGAACAAGACAATTTTAAGTCTACTGCGAAAATGATATATTGTTCAAAAGTAAATTAAGTTGCTTATTTCTCCATGAATAAATAAAGTGCAAGAAACACAAATATATATGTATAGAGTAATAAAACGCATAAATTAAAAGTGTCGAGTACCCGTAACATTTAATGGTAAAAACACAAACGTTTTCGGGCATCACCCTTTATCAGGTGGTACAGATAGAAAATATAGCGTATATATATATATATATATATATACATACGTACATACATATATATATATATATATATATATGAATATATACATGCATACATATCATACATACACACATACACGGAAAGAAAAATAAAGTAAAACTAAATAGGATACAACAAAGAAAAGAAAGGGGTGGGGGGTGGTGGTGAACAGGAGATTGCATACTAATAATAATAAATAAGCAATGGAAAGACTGTTTATACAACATATACCTGAATCAGAGATTTTTATAGTAATTTTGAAGCTAGTCAGAGTTGGTTGAACTTTTGAAATCGGCGGGTGAAAGATTATTCCATAGTTTGGGTCCTATATAGAGTATAGTAGAATGTTGTCTAATTTTAGATGTACAAGATTTAGCGTAAACATTAGTTAAAGAGAGTTTACGCACAAACACTGGTACCTCAGACCTCCAAAGTACGCTAGGCACAAGGTTGTTGAGACACAATTATAAAGTGGCTGGTTTATTGATTGATTGATTGATTGACTTCATTTGATATTCAATATAGGTCTACCTTTATTTCTTGATTTCCAATGGAGTCCATAACGCATTCAAAATCTAAAAGTGAAAAATACGCTTTTTAACTAGAATAATTAAAGCCAATGAGATATGTGAATATCAGATATCAAAAACAATAAAAACGACAATCTAAAGGACAGAAAACAAAAACGATGCTATACAATGACCAAATTTCTTTCTTTCAGCTTTTTCTTGAAACTATTCTTGTATTCAGTTGCTTTAAGTGAATTTGAACTCCAGAGCATTCGACTCTAGGATTCATAAAAATAAATAAAATGTAGATTTATTCTTCAAGTGTGTTTAGTTAGGAATGATAAGTCGATGACGCTCGCACTAACTTTTTAGTTTATTACGGAATGTTGGCGATTCAAGATTTCCATGCGCCAGAAGTTAGAGACTCGGTATAGGGGAATACCCTAATTAAACTAGTTGACCAATCATTGTCCAGTACTAGCGATTCTCTGGAGCACGTGCCAGGCACGTCACGGTCACCTGATTAACGACAACAAGAGTCTGTACCTGCAACTTCTACGGCGCGGTCCGAAAGAAAAACTTGCACGTCATGGTGATTATAAAAACTCTTTTGACTATAGTGGGCTTAATCATCTGCCTGTCTTTCACAGAGTCATCACTTCATGAGGGTAAAGATTATTAATTAATATTAATGATGAATGGAATCATTAGGCCTAGGCTACACTGTTCCACAACACATTGAAAGGATGGGTAGGCCTCGCCAAGCCTATCCTCCTCGGTTCTTGGTACGGTGATCTATGCAGCTCTCTGAGCTTGCAGACAATATACTAGGTAGGCCTCGAGGCTTTTTATGAGATAAGACTGATACTGTGAACGTATAAGTCCAGTATTATTCGCACAGGATAGTAATCGCACACATCGTCGTGAATATGTAATTTTAACTTAGCTTTTTCAACCAGACAACCAACAGTGTGTTCAGTGATGCGTTCTGTATTTACTATTGTTTGAAGATAAAGTCGTATTTTGAAACGAAATCGCTTTGTAAACAATGATAAAAAAATAAAAAAAACTCATTGAGCGAAACTTTATTTCAATTCAGTTCATTATATTCAATATCAAAATCGCTCTCGAGGACTGAATTAAATGATACTTACAATACAAACATAAAAACATCAAAGGAGATTTGAAGTTTATAAAGGGATATGGATCATCATATGGCTGGCTCAGAGGCCATTATGATTTTTTTAAAAATAAGATACACATCTGTAATCAAGGGGATATAATTAATTTTATATACCTCTTTGCTGTAATCCAATATTTATTCGAATAGACGCCCTGTTTATTGTTGAATGGGGTGTTTATTGCTATACTCAAATAAACGCCCATTATTAATTTCACTGTAAATGTGGAACTGCAACACACTGGCATCAAAATGTGTTGTGTGATCTCGGCCGAGGTGGAGGCGGCAGTTGCGTAGACGACTGCTGATCTTCGCTATCGGCCGCGGAGTTTTCGGCGACGGTCCTGCCCTCCCGATCGAAGAGCAATTCTGCGAAGACGTCGACGATCGGCGTCGAACTGCGAAACGGACTTCTGACGAAGTCCGATCTCGGGTGGCAGCACAGCAGAATCTTGGCGCACGTCAGGAATCGAGAAAAGCAATCGGACGAACGATTTCACTCGACGTTTCTCCAGTTCACGACGACGACGTTCTCGAAGTACGTCGTGCCGTTCTTGGCGCCGGTCGGCGGACGGCGGTTACTTATTGACCCAAACCACCTTGGAGTCTAGAACACAGAATAAGAATGTGTTAAGAATGATGTTGCTTCTATTAAATTTGTTTATCATTCATTTAGGGGGCCTTTATTCAATTAAAAAATACTCGCCTCAGGTTGTTCATTCGAAGGAGGCGTTTATTTCCAATGAGGCTGTAGTAGAGGGGTTGTTTATTTAAATTGGGGCATTTATTAAAATATATACGGTACCAATTATTAGTCACTGCGGAACTATGAAAGAATCCTATGCATTGAATGTTAAATGTCCGTAATAATTGCAATGTCTGCTTCATTCTTACGTATGTAGAGCGTAGATGCCACAAGTCTATAATAAATGACGACGAACCAGATCAGGATTGGGGATACGTGAATGTTCGCCCTGATGCCCACATGTTTTGGTGGCTCTACTTTTCCACTATCAAGCCAGTCTACTCATCAGCACCATTAGTACTTTGGCTACAGGTACGTTATAAGACCTAGCATGGGAAAACTTTATCATTTTGTTTATTATATCTAAGATCACTGCCAGTCTCAAACATTGAAAATATATATTGGCGCCACATACAATATATTGGTCCCTCCACTCCCCACCCCCACCCACTTTCTTCATATGCAACATTTAATTATTATGGATTGATTGATAATCAATTGATTGTTGATATTCTATTGTCATCTTTACGTGTCTTGTCATCCCTCTAGGGAGGGCCAGGAGGCTCCTCTACAGGATTTGGCAATTTTGAAGAGATTGGGCCATTGGATGTGAATCTAAATCCAAGGAATTCCACCTGGGTAAGCTCTATACTTATTATATATCCAACAATGTTTCAAGTGGGCAATGGTGTATTTAAGAGTATGGACATACTGTGGTTGGGGTTAGAGCTGACAGGGACCAAGGTGGGAAAGTGGGTGATGCTAGCTAGCTAAAGGGTTAAGGTGGTGTAAGGTGATTTTTCACAACCTGTCAATATGTATCAATTGATAGAGAATAAATTTTATTTGGAATTGAGATACTATTGCATAACTATTTTTAACTATGTTATATTTTTCTCCTATTTTTCTTGTACTGGTAATTATTGTTAGTTGTCAGCAGCCAATCTGCTCTTTATAGACAGCCCGGTGGGCGCAGGTTACAGCTACGTAACTGACAAGTCGGCGTACACTACTAACTTGACAGAAATCGCAACTGATCTTGTTCATGTTTTGAAAAAATTCTTGTACTATTATTGTGACTTTAAGGTACTGTAATAGGCTTAAGAGGGCGGTAGATGGGTTGTAACCCATCACGATAACCTCATAATTGCCTTTCACTGGGGAATGCTTAGGATAATATGGAGAACATTTGGCTTAGACAACATTCTCAAAGCTCAATACTCTGACATGTCCATAATTTCAGTGGGATGGGTCATATTTGCTGGCTTGGCTCAAGAGAGTTCCTCCTCTTGTCTCTAAAAAGCTCCTGCATGTTATTTTGATTGCCAATCCCTAATATTGAGGTCTAAAAGCACAATTGTGGGCCATCCTAAACCATAAAATCTCTCCCATGAACCCTACCAGGAATTTTTATTCTGGGACCCTGATCAAGGCTCTTGGTTCGGACCTCATTGTCGGACATGTCGGACCCCTCGTCAGCAAGTTTCTGGAGCCACCGCTGACCATGTGGCTGAGCTGTTTTCTGTCCACTAAGCATTCCTTACGTGAATTTCACTTTTGGAGTTCGCCTCATTTTATTGTGTTCATCCCATCTATCATCATTTCAGGTGCAAGCCGCCAACGTTTTATTCATTGATAATCCAGTAGGAAGCGGGTATAGTTATGTGACAAATGACAATGCTTACACGACAAATGTGGACGAAATTGCTATAGATCTTGTTACCATTCTCAAAGCATTTTTTACAAAACATTCAGAGTTTAAGGTGAGGGGAAGCTTAAGTCAGTTAATGATTAAAATTTAAAATATGTGATCGTCAATCATTTGAGTGGACAACCACAGAAAATAAAGTAGCATTTCTCTCATTGCAGTGTTGTGATATAGTGCATTATGAAAATCCTTCTATGCACTTTACATTTTCATACTCCGGTTATCGGATTAAAGGCCTATGGAACACAAACTCACCTCACCCTCCCCACAACATTGCAGCAGATAATCAGTGCATTTTGGCATTTAACCTACTTACGCTCCTGGGTGGAGAGAAGAAATGCAGATAAAGTGCCTTGCTCAAGGACACAAGCGAAATGCACAGCGAGGGATTGAAACCCAGACCACGAGGTTGGGAAACCAAACCATTCCTGCTGCGCCAAACCACTTCAACTTGTTTCATATACATTTTACAAGTTAAACTAGATTCATTATGTGAAGTTGTATTAATTGATTTTGAATTAACAGACGTTTTCACTCCTTGCAGACAATTCCATTTTATATTTTCTGCGAATCATATGGAGGCAAAATGACAGCTGCTCTCAGTCAGGCCCTTCAGAAAGTAAGTCTTGTTTTGATACAATAAAACCCAAAAGTGAAGTTACCACATATATGTATGTATGAG